GGGGGCAGAGAGGGATGTTCAATGTCATATCGGGGGATTTGCAGGGGGATTGAATAACATAATTTATACGACACGGCCTTTCAATCATCGTCGTTTTCCCCTCAGACACATTGTACATGGGACAAGACAGAACCCCGTCATCAGATACAAGTCGTGTGTCGACGTCAACAGCGAGGTAACCCAACCCCCTCAGACCTGTTTATCAATTCACAGCTTCAATGTGCGCATTTCTCGCTGTCCTGTCGCCTTGCTTTCGTTTTTCATACATGTATTTACTCTTATCCTGATTTGCACTTGTTTCCGTTGCAGAAAAAAAGAATATGTTTATCATGGTAATCGCCAGCTTCTCTTTGCAACAGTCTTTGTGTAGTAGTTATACGGGGTGACCACTACAGCTGGATCGGACCGATCGCCCGACTCGATCGCCTCAAAAACAAACGTGTTTGTTTTCAGTTTCAGTTCAGGCGATCGAGTCGGGCGATCGGTCCGATCCAGCCGTAGTGGTCACCCCGTATTAGGATTTTCCCTGTAGCACTCAATAGACGCGAGAAGTCTACGACTCCATAGAGGGACGTTGATTGTCCAACTACTATGTTGTGTCTGCAACGATGGTGTATCCAGTACTATCCCCCCCCCCACCCCAGGATTCCCCGGGGAAAAAACAGGATAGAAAAGTACGCTTCCTTCTTAACTAGTTCTAACATACATCGGTGTGTTAAGAGAATATAATAATACTAACATGCTTTGATTAAGAGATATCAATATTTGTGTTGACAGCTCTGGGAAACAAAGTTTTCATTGATTTGATCATGCACTTTGTATTTTAGAACACCTCAAACATGGGTGAAAGTCGCAGTTGAAAAGGTTTCGTTCAAAACTAAAATGTTGAAATACCATATCTCGATTGTTTATTGATTGATTTTGAGAATTCTTTTTTGAATGTTCTTGTTTTATTGAGTAGGTTTGAACCCATAAGGTTTAAACATCAATATTGTTCCAAAAAATTTCGCTTGTGGTACCTAATATTTAATAATATTTATAAAAAT